TCACTGGGAATTGTTGAAACCAGCTTTAGCTGGATTCAGGCCTCAGAAGACACCTCCCTCTCTCCCCAACTCTCCCTCCTCTCCCCTTCCTTTTTCCCTTCCCCCTGCCCCTCTCCTCTCTCTCCCTCTCTCTCTTTCTCTTCCCCCCTCCCCCAATCTCAGCTTTGACCTTCTCTGGGCTGGTGTCATTCTGAAGCAGGCTGTCATCACAGGGCACAGGTAACCACCTGCAGCCCTAGATTTCCACCCTCCCAGATTAGTGACTCCAGCAGAAAGTCTTGAACTTCAGTAGTAGCTCAGATGAGTCAAGGAGAAAACGGAGGGGTTGGACTTGGATTACAAAGTCACCTTTCAACTGAGCCATAACTGGATGTAGTCCTCTGGGTTATGTGCCCATCTGTAGAGGTGTAGAGAGAGGTAGGAGGAGGGTGGGTCAGGGTCAGGATTGGCACCACCCCAACCACCTATTGGGAACAGAATTGCATGGCTTGGGGGAGGGGTGGTTAGTCCCACACGGAGATGGTGGCAGGCCAGAGCCATAGCACGCCCACATCTAATGGGGTGAGTCCAGGCACATCAGGCTGTGAGGTATCGTACTGTTCTAGCAAGTGTGATGAGCTGTGGTTACGACATAGATATCTACAGCACATTGTGTAAGTGAAAAGAAAGTTTACCAAAGAGTAGTGTAGTAGGATCCAACTTTAGCTTGAAGATTAAAAAAATCCCCACTGGTGGTGTTTATTTTTAGGTGGTAAAATGATAGGTAACTTCTTTTTCCCCCTTATCTTTTGATATAATCTGAAAATTTTTACACTGAGGATATATTTCTGTTATAATCAGGAAATGCGATAAAACCGTTTATATTTAGGAAAAAGAAAAGCTTGTTTATTGCAGAACCCTTGGCAAGAGTGGATGAGGCCTGAACTGGGAAGGGTGGAGAGGAGGAAAGGAATTTATGGGTTTTGAGAAGCTAAGTCCCTGGGACCTGCCGGCTGCCTAAGAGCTGAGGAGTGAGCCAGGCTGGTGCTGGGGCTTCTGCCCCCTGGTGACCAGGTGGTGTGGGGAAACCCAACATTCTCAGAGATGTTTGGGCCTTACTGCTAGAAACCACAGACCTTGTAGACTTACGCAATTGAAGGAAAGGTCAATTTGATGTAAACATTTTGAATTGTGTTTTAAAAGAAGACATCATTACTGTTTGATACATGGTATATACTTCATTTATTAAGTAGTTGGTAAGCTCCTTGAGAGAAGAAACTCATCTTTAGGTTGTGATCCATCAATACTTAGCATATAACCTGGTTTGTAGAGAGAGTGCTCCAAAACGTCGTTGAATAATTCAAGCTAAGCTAATAGTATTTCTTAAAAGTAATCATCACTGTAATCTGCTCAGGGAACACACCAAGCTGATTCGTAATCACTTCTAAATAGGTGCTTCCAAAGTGCTTAAAATAGTGCCTTTCTTAATAAGAAAAGATGTTTGTCCAAAGTTATTTTAAAATTAATGTTTAGCAAATCCCCTGCAGTTTGCAGCATGTGAAAAGATCAGTGTGGTCCCGCACACACATGGCACAAGTCGCTTGAGAAACTGAGGCCACACTATGTAGATATTCTGGGTCTCTCATATGCATTTTTGTCTACTTTATAACATTATTTTCCTCAGAAGCGTGGTTTATTGTTATAGTTCACAGGGTCCAGAATATAAAACATTTGAACTACCAGGCTGTATATCCTTATGGCTTAGGGAGCTCGGGCCCTGGCCCCAGCCAAGCTGGCTCTGAATCCCAGTGGCGCCATTGCCTAGCATGTCGACTGGGGTGGTTTAACTCTCATTCTCATCTGTACAAACGTTTTATAAGATGCTCATGAGGATAATATGAAAGAGTCAGCACAACACACTTAGCACGGAACTTGACACGTGGTCAGAACTCAAATATCATCTTTAAAAAAAAAATCACATTTGTGTATCTTCTGGGATGGAGTGATTTTCTGCATCCCATTTATGATGGGATTTCTTTGATTTACCTTGAAACGTAAATACCTTTTCTTTGAAACCCTCCCAACACCACTCAGGTCTGTTTTCCCATCTTAAGACAGAGCAAAAGAGAAAACTTAGTTTGAGGTTTGATCTCAATGAAAAAAAGGGTCGTTTCAGATAGCATCAGCCTGGACTGTGGCTTTTGATTTATTATGAGCAACATTAGGAACCCTTGTTTTAGGACCAGGGCGTGCTCTGCAGGTACTACCAAGCAGGCACCAGCTGGTGGCCAGCTCCTTGGGAGCAAGCCACTCAGGCCTGTGGTTACTTCCGAATCACCTGCTGGGACAAGTCGTAGCTGAGCAAACCCTCATGCTGCTGAGGCTCCGTGTCCCGTGGCAAATTGAGAGTTACCTGTCGGGGGAGAGACGTGGAGAGGTGTGCCCAGTGCCCAGGCCTCAACCTGTCAAACGTGGGGTGCTGGTTAAGCACTGCCTGTATGTCTCCTGAAGCTTCACCTGAGGTCCTCAAACTGCACTTCTAGGCTACTGATCCCCGAGTGAGCATCTCACAAGGGGAGACAGGTGTTGAGTTAAAGCGTGTGGATAAAACTTAGGGAGAGCTTGGATGTGTGATCCATTCTTTCATACAGCATCAATGCTGATTGAGTATCAAATTACAGCCGCAAAGCCTGCTGTTCAAGTTTTTTTTCTTTTTGAGACAGAGTCTCACTCTGTTGCCCGGACTGGAGTGCCGTGGCATCAGCCTAGCTCACAGCAACCTCAAACTCCTGGGCTCAGGCAATCCTTCTGCCTCAGCCTCCCGAGTAGCTGGGACTACAGGCATGCGCCACCATGCCTGGCTAATTTTTTTCTATATATTTTTAGTTGGCCAATTAATTTCTTTCTATTTTTAGTAGAAACGGGTCTCACTCTTGCTCAGGCTGGTTTCAAACTCCTGACCTTGAGCAATCCACCCACCTCAGCCTTCCAGAGTGCTAGGATTACAGACATGAGCCACGGCACCCGGCCTATGTTCAAGTTTTTTGACTAGATTATTTCTTGCCCTTCCTCTCACCATTCAAGCTAGAAGCTTAAGGGAATCTTTGACACAAAAATATGTACACAGGTGTCCTTTTTTCTTTTTTGGGTTTAACAGTGATTTTATTTTCAACTATACCTTAGTACAGTATAATGTGAAATAAGTCCTGTTGAGTATTTTATATGCCAGAGTATTTTTTTAAGTGCCCCCGTAGGGACCCAATACCTGAACTGTGGAAACAGATACCTAAAGCACAGAGCTTTAATCACCTCATAAATTTCCTGAAAATGGAAAACACGATTCTGAAGTATAGAGTGTCAGATTCTAGTTCAGAACTTGTGGAATCAACAGAAATTTTTACCAAGAGATATTTTAAGCTGCCTAATGACATCGGGAACTCACACAGGCTCTCTTCCCCTTCCCTGTGTTCCTCCGATCCCCTCCCGCCCTCAGCCGCTCAAAAAGGGAGAAAAGCAGCCATCGCCCCTTGCTGGCGGTAGAATTTATTCCGTCATTTATTTTTCAGCCAACTGCAGCCATTGCCGTTGCCTCTGGGCACTTGTTCAGAAACGCAGAAATGAAATAACAGATTGACCAGACTGAACACAAGTCCCCAGCCACAACCCCATTATCTCCTCGTTCTGTCACCCTCATCAGGCAGAAGCCTGGGAGACGGAGGGTGACAGCACGGTGCTTATGCAGCTCATGCACCTGCGCAGCTCAGGGCTTCCTGCCAGCCTCCCTCTTCGTCTCGTTCCCCGGCACGCGGGGCAGGGGAGGGTGGAGCCGGGGCGTCCGATTCCTAGGCCTGGGCTGCGGCCCACCCGCCTCTGCCCTTCCCTCCATCTTAAAGGGCTTCCATGCCACCAGCCTGCCCGGGAAAGGGCGCCTCAGTCCTGGGAACCCCAGGACAAGCTGTAGGGACCAGCATCTTCTGCTTGTCGTCCAGCCACCCAGGAATGCATGTGGCTAATGCTGCAGTGTGTGGACTTGCTGGAATCTCAAGTATATCTCAGTTACCAGGAGGAATTCGGTGCCATGATATTTATAGCCATTCTATCCTGGTCAGAGCCAAGCCGTGCACTTGATTCGTTTAGTGTCGGCCATGTGCGGCCTCTGCAGGCCCATCTCCTGAAACGCTGACGTTTCTCTGGCCGGATTGAAGGTGGAGGGAGTCTCCACTCAATCTAGACAGAATTGTTTCCTGATTCTTGCCTCCTGTTGACATTCCTTTAAAATTATCAGCACAAGATAACAAATGTTTGGGGAAAGTGTGAGGTTGCCTTCCTCCTTTTTGTCAAGTGTTTTAACTTCTTTTAATAAAGAAGGTGTAGAACTCAAATAATGAGAGAAACCCAGAAATAGTCTGCCCTGTAGACGCTGTTGCTTTGCAGGGGTTGGTTTTTTGGAGTAGTTCGTGCCCCGGGGAGCTTGGCCTTTTATTCTGTCTTCTTTCCAGGCACCTGCTCCATATAGCACATAATTATATCTTTTATTGGTGAGTAGTTCTTAGAGGAGGTGAAAGGTTAGAAGGGGGACACTGCTTGCTTTGTCCCCAAGCGGCTGGGGTCAGATCTGACTCTGTGGGGCCCACAACCCCCACCCCCCGTGCAGAATGTCTAATGCAGCTCAGCTCCCTGCACATTTGGCCTTTGAAACCCGGACAAGGGCGTGTCTGCCAGGAGACAGACGGTAACCTGGCTCTGAGGAGGGTGCGCAGCTTAATGATATTTAGAAAGATGAACTTTCCCCAAAAAAGAGCAGGATGTGGTTCAGGTTAATCCATCCTGGGGAGAATTACTCCCATGTGAAGGTTTTGCTGGGGACATGTGGGAGCAAGCTATCCTTCACCCCACTCAGGTAAGGAAGAGCAGGGTGACATGAAAGCATTTGATGATGGTGACATGGCCTGGATCGCACTGATAATTGCAGTTCCTTCTTGCTGATTAACTCGAATCCTCTCCTCTCCTCTCTACACCAGCGCACACCCCAGACAACAGCTTCCTGGGGTTTGTGGTCGAGCAGCACCTGAACTCGAGCGACGTCCACCACATCAATGAAATCAAAAGGCAGAACCAGTCCCTGGTGTATGGCAAAGTGGATAGCTTCTGGAAGGTGAGTCAGCCCGTGCGTCTCGAAAAGCAGCTTGTTGGGAAATTTAATTTAACTTTGATCCAGGGAGTCATCAAGCCAAGTGTCCAGGGCTTAATAGGACCTGCTTAGAAGTAAACGGGAGCATGCGAGGACTCGGGGGCTCGGCGTTCGGTTTTCTCCCCAAGGCTGTGCCTGCTTATCTGGGTAGTGGCTGCGCAACAAATCCCTTCCCTCTTTGCGTGGCAGAAGTGACACATTCCAGCTTCCTTCACATCTTGTACTTGCTTCTGAGAGCCAGGGCCCCTCGGGCGTTGGATCGCTCTCCGGAGCTAAGCACTGGGAGAAACTTGGCCAAGCGAGTCTCCTCCTCTGCCTTCTGGGAAGTAGTCTAGGGAGGTCGGCAGCTCCCCTTCCTGGGGAAGGCAGTGGCCTTCACGTCCTTTCGGCTGTAGTCAGTACTCACCTAACTGCAGCTGACGGTGGGCAGTTTGCTTGGGGAGGTCTTGGATGAAAGAGAGTGTTTGGTGGCAGACTCAGCAGGTTTTCCAAAAGCGTTGGGCAAATGTTTTTATAAGGCATTCTGCCTCAGTAGGCAAATATCATAATTTTTTTTTTTTTTGAGAAAATGTTTTTATAGGACAGAAGCCCCTGGGACCTCAAAACATGCCTCTTCCTAAATGTTAGAATGGATTTCTTTCCAGAATGGCCACAAACTCTGGTCTCATGTTACTGGGTCTCCACAGTCAAGGAAGTTAGAAATCCTACAACTGTGGGAGCATAAGTGGTGTGCAGGGTAGAGAAGTCTCCGTTACTGCTCTCCTGACCCCGTGCTCAGAAAGGGAAGGTGGCACCTCGTCCCTCAGCTCTGAGAAGCGGACTGTGCCAAGGGGGCGAGGAGGTCAGCCTGTTTCCAGGGAGACCAAGTTAACTCCACACAACTGCCTTTCTTATAAACAGCTAAAAATTTTTGTCTTCACTTAGTATATTAGCTAGTTCTCAACTGTGGACGATTTTATCCCCTTACCCTGCTACCTCCGGGGGAACATTTGGTAATATCTGGAGACGATTTGGGTTGTCGCATGTCTGGTCAGTGGTACTGCTGGCATGTAGTGGACAGAGGCCAGGGAGGCCGTACACACCCTGCAATGCACGGGACAGCCCCACGCACAGAGGAGCAGTAGTGCCAAGGTTGAGAAACCCCGGCTGGTGGGTAGGAATTATTTGCTACTTATGTTACTCCATAATTTCTTCTCTCAAGCAAAATAAAATCAAGCTAGATAATAAATGGCGATTTAAGGTGGTCCCACGAATTTATGCACATTTGCTTCCCTTGCATCGAAATGTATCAATGGCACGTTTTTCAGCTGACTTTTAGCCGGACTTGGGTTAAAAAGGGCATATTGGGTTGTTCTCATGCTCATCTTGGTTGTGAAATGGACGGATCATGGCATGGGTTTTAGGAAGACTCAGGCTCTTAAAGAAAACTCTGCTGCTGCTTAAAGAAAAGGAGCTTGCACATTCATGTGGGCTTGACCTTGAAATTATAACACCTGTTTTGGAACCAAGTGCAGCTACCTCTGGCAACTTTTTCTGGTTTCCTAGAAAAACAAAATAATAAATTGGTTCTGAAAGCTTTTCGGTCACCTGTTTTGGATAAATTAATACCACTGGTAAAAAGGTGACTTTCTCATGCCTGTCCTGAAAGTGTTAACCACGCTGCTCAAACGATTTGGAATCCTTCTGTACTTTGAGTTGTTAAAACTCTGCAGGTGTTCAGCCTTCCTCATTACCTGTACCATGCATTGCCCGAAGATTACAAAGTGTGTCCGCGTTCATCTTTGCCTGAATACCAACAAATCTAGGATGTTAGTTCCAATTTTATTACATCATTCCAGCATTCTGTGCTGGGAAAGGTCCAAGGAGATGAAAAACACTGTAAAATTTTCACATGAATTCAGGACATCTTCTCCAGTTCTTGAACACAGCACAGCATGTGAGTATTTAGTTTCTTTTTCCAAAACATTTCCATCCCAGAGTATTTAGCAAGTGCGCATAGAAAACAGATGTGCCTTTTAAGTGAGATGTCACTCCAGCCACGTTTCCAGAGCTGCATTCGACACGGGAGGTTTTGAAGATGGTTTTTCCCATCCCGTGCCCCAGTGTCCCCCTTTGCCTCAGATGTTCTGGGATGGCAGTGACACCTGTCAGTCCTGGGAGGCTTAGGGTTGCAGCTGGGGAGTGTACGGTTTGGACCAGATGATTTTGGAAGCTCTTCCTTCACCCTCCGATTCTAGGACTTGTTCAAATTCTGAAGATACCTGCTGTGGAAAGGGAAGGGGAGATGTTGAGAAGCCAGTGAAGCCCCCCTAGTGAGGAGAGATGCACCCCCTGAGAGAAATAGGAGTGCTTTGGAGGGGCCGTGTAGAGTGAAAGACAGACAGACAGACCACCCCCGCAGCCTGGAGAGAAAGAGAAAGCAGCTGCTGGAGCTCCTGGCAGCTTGCTTTGTCCAGATCATATGTCCTTTTCTCACACTCTGGTCGCTTGCAGTATCTCAGTGCATTCTGTCCCCTGTAGTCACACCCAGGACACCTACTATTATTATAAAATAGATCTTCCTGCATTCTCAATGCCTATCAAGAAACACTTAAAAAAGAAGAATGTCTGCTGCTCTTATTAATGTCATGATTGCAGCCAGATGGGAAGCACCGTCGCAGGAATTGCTGTGGGTATGAGACAAGGGGGTCGATCCTGTGGGGAGCTGGAAGCCTGCCCAAAGGAATTGAGATTCCAGTTTGTGAACTGTGTAAGTGCTTGGCGAACCCCAGCCTGCGCACCAAATCTAGCCCACCATCTGTTTCGTAAAGTTTTATTGGAACACAGCCATGGTTGTTTCATCGTCTGTGGCTACTTTGGCGCTAAAATTGTAGAGTTGAGTATTTGTGACAGAGACCATAACGACCAGCAGAGCCTAAAGTATTTACTCTCTGGCCCATTCCAGAAGAAGTTTGCTGACCCATGAACTATGCTATGTCCCAGGTAAACTGAGTCTGTCTCTGAGGACACACTGGTCAACAGTCCCTGGCACAGATCTTAGCAGAGATTTTTTTGGCTTGTTTGGAGGTTCTTATTATATTCTGTATGATTGAGGCTAACGGATAAGCAATGCATGGAAGCATGATGTGTGACTTTGCTAAAGTCCTGAACCAATCTAAAAATGAAGCCCCGGGCACTGAACCTGGTACCTCTTTATGGGCATCCAGCAAAAGCCAGGGCTTTAGTAACTAATGTGTTATAATAATAAAAGAGGGCCTCAGATTTGTGCAGCACTCCCTCTGGTACGTTCTGATGCCTTGTAACCATCTTGGTTTATAAATAAGGAACTAGCTCAAGGACATGGTGACATGGCCAAGTCCTACGGCACATGCAATGGCAAAGCCAGGACCAGGGTCTGGGATCTGACCTCCCCTCTTGGACACTTGCCACCCTGCTGCCACTGGCCTCCCTGGAGGGTGTGTCCCTGTTTCGAGCAGGATTCTGAAGCTGGGAAGGAAGGTGTCCCTGGGTGAACTAGGTATACCGCAGGAGCCCTGGGCAAATATTGGTGTCTGCAAGTAAAATGTGGCTCCGGGCTGCTCACCACACGATGGCCAAGTCGGCCAACAGCTTTGCAGCCAGTTCTGCAAGGTAAATAGGCCTGCCTTGAGCTATTCAAGTCATTTCTGGCCTCAGAGCCCAGGCCCTGGCTTGCTCCAGATCTGGCCTACCTGGCAGCAACCAGTCTTCACTGATTTTGGTGGAAAGCTCCCTTTTATCTAGGACCTCAAAGACTTTGTGGTTTTACAGCATCTCCTCAAATGACACACAGTTCCTTTCCTATAGGCCTTAAGAAATCAGGCAGCAGAACTTCCAGAAATGGGATGCAACTTTTCCCTCCTTCCTGCCCTTTTCTATTCCATTCTCCATGCAGCAGCTGCCAGAGTGATCTTTTTTTTGAAATGTAAGTTGGATCATGTTACTCCTTCGCTCAAACTCTCCAGTGACTTCATTTTAAACTTAGGACATGTTACATTTACAGTGGCATCTGCGTGGTTTGGTGAGGTTCTCTGCAAGCTGCCCACACCTGCTCTGCACCTCCTGTTCTCTCTGGCTCCTGGGCCATGGCCACAGGGCGTTCACACACCACTCCCCCACCTGCGGGCCCCACCAGGCCTCTTTCATGGCCACTGCCTGCCCCAGCCTGAGCCCCTAGGACCACCCTGTCTAACACATGTGCCTTCAGCCAGATGCAGCCCTTCCCTATCACAGGACCCTGTTTATTCCCTTTATATAATTTTTCATCATTTTGTAATCGTGTTTATCTTCTGTTGTCAGTTTCTCCTTCTTTACTATAAGCTCTATGACAGCAGGAATCTGTTTTGCTTACTCAGTGCTGCCTGGCAGAAGGTAGCAACTCACTACCATGTTTCCCTGAAACTAAGACAGGGTCTTATATTTATTTTTCCTCAAGAAGACACCCTAGGGCTTATTTTCGGGGGATGCGTTATTTTCTCCCCAAAGCCTCAGCTTGCAGCATGCACAGGATGCCCGGGACCTGACAGGGGGAGCCGACCTTGTTGGTGGGGCTGCCCACACCTTTCCGGTCACCTATGGGATAGTAGCTGTCACGATGGGGCAGATGAGAAGGGCTGCTCCTCGTCTTTACCACTCCACCACGAAATGCATGGGTTGTGCAGATACGCTGTGTAGCCACTCCCATCACTAGATCTTATTTTCGGGGTAGGGCTTATATTGCACAAATGCTTAGAAATCCTGCTAAGGGCTTATTTTATGGGTAGGTCTTATTTTCAGGGCAACATGGTACTTGGTGACTGAATGTATCTCCTTTGAGTTTGGCTTAAGTTACTCATTTATCTGGGGAACCAGGGATGCAACTTGGAATGTTTTCTGCTTTGGGCTTTCCATGTGTTCTCTGGTGGCCCAAGGAGACTGAGAGAGGAGGTTTGGTGGAATGGGAATGG